GGTGTTGAAAATAGTTAAATGAAATATCTTTATATCATGAAAAATGTTCCCCGCAGGAAACCATTTTACTTGTTAATCTTATTGCGTACATTATTTATTATTTATGAAAACATCATATGGAACTGAATTGCTTTAATTAATTAATTGAAGACGCCGCGGCATTAATTATCATTTGTCCTATTTTCAAGCTTGCTGATGATCCCACCACATGATTTAAGCAATGACTGCTTAGGTTTCAAAGATAAACCATCAATTTAATTTGGGTACTTTGAGAAACTTCTTCAAATTGACGATATATCCTTTTATTTTGTACTTAATTTTCGCTAGACAAGCTGTCCGAATAGGGTACATCGCCGGCCATGTATCTATTTCTCAGCGCAAAATATCAACTAAATCCAATATGCAGAGATCTGCTGAGGACGCTATTTTCCGACATTGACGCTAAAAATAAAATTGCGCAGGAAAATCGGCGCATGAAAACAAAACTGTCCATTCGGTTATTTACGCACCCAGTCAAAACTGATACCAACAGCAACAGGTTGCCCATTGAGTCATTCCCCTGTAATTACGCATATTCTCGGGTTTATCCAGTTCCCTATAGCTTTTTTTCCACGTTATCTACTTACCCAATCCCTTTCCCATACAGACACGCATTTCTACTACCGTAAATTTAATCCAATAAAACAAAAAATCATAAATCTACTTAATATTTAAAATGATTATTGGTAACTGAAAAAAATGTGTTGCTATTTTATGAAATGCTGAAATTTACAGTATTACTTGACAGGTGCGGAACTTAATCCTCCCTAGGGTCATTCAGTTCACTGATGAAGCGTAAAAAAAGATGTCTATTTCGTCATTAGAATATTTGACAAGGGTGATTAACCAATCAGGGCAACATTGTGCATGATCAAAAGGTCTGTTGGCACAGAGGCACACAAGGAGCAATAAAAATCGTTAGTACACAGTGTGACAGGAACATTTGATGCAAATTAGGAACAATTAAAATGGATAATGCACAGTATTAGACATAAGTAGAAAGAACCAGCAATTGTTTGAATAAATTATGCAAATGAGATTTTTGAGCAGCTAATAAAAATGTTTTGCCTGCAGTTAATATTAGGCTACGATTACGATGTAAATAAATATCACGCAGCATACGTTGACAGACATGTTAACAATTTACTTTTCAAAAGAGTTGCTTATATTTTTGAAATGTGTACATCACTACTAACATAATATTATGTTCACACCTTTTAATTTGAAAGTCAGAATCAAACTGCAAAAATTTAATTACATGTACTATTAAGAACGCGTTTTGGTAGGATTTTTATAATAATGATGATTATCGCCGTTCAATAATTAACAGCCAATTATTCGTTGGTTCGTTTGTTTATTTAATTGCATTATTTGATTGTGAAACTTGGTTAAATAATAACACGTGTATTTATTAACTCTGTGAAATATTGTTTAATTACATTAAGATGAGACTTTAATGAACATAGCATTGTAACGGGCATCACTGGTCTGAAGTGGTGCGACCGGTAGACGTTGATTTTTTATTTGTTCCTTTATTTTTTATTATTCCTTTTGGATATTGTTACGTATTTTGAACCATAAAAAAATCTCCTCAACACCTCCTGTGAAAATTAAATTGTCTGGTCAATACTTTATTATATAAATATTTCGCTACAATTCAACTAGATTTATCATACATCTAAAGATGTGGGGAAATGACATCACGCGCACCTGTTATACGGCCAATACACAAACATGGCCGCGCCAACTGATTTGTAGAAATCGGTGATTTAGCGATTTAAATTTCGTTATCATTCGTTTAATATTATTATTTGGCGGCAGAAAATTTGCAGATTTATTATTTATAGTATTCTTTTTCTGAAATCAAGTTTCTATTCTTACCTTGTCTTTCCCTTTAACGGTATCCCGTAAAAACAGGTGTTGAAAAAGCATAATCGTGTCGCGAGGAGGCGATACTTTTTTGTACTCAAGACCAGTTACGTTATATCGACATGTATTGCGGGGAAAAACTTATGGTATGAAACCGAAACATTTATGCATCAAGTAGTCATATATTTTTAAGTCATATATTTTTACGAGATACTGTAATGAAATAGACAATACTACATACAGTTACACAGGTAGGTATTATCTTTCAGGTGCCCAATTAACGTTCCATACGGAATTCCGTATCTAGACATGATGACATGTCTTTTTTTAAATTGCATGGTATATAATATTATAAGCTTGTCGTGCTCATAGCGGGTTACATACAAGATTCCGTATATTCCGGATAGCTTCCGATGAAAGTTTAAAATAACATAAATGTTTCCCTACATTCCCTTTCTCCTGAACTTGAATGGTAAACAAGTAAAAAATAAGAGAGATAATGTAATAAAATGCCGACAGCGAAAATTTAATAAATTGAATTTGGCAAATGTTTTTACGACTTATACCCATTTTCGAAAACACGTGTCAACAAGGATGTGATATTTTATCTTTTCATTGACAGATACAAACAGTGGTCATTTGAAGGAAGTAAAGTATCTACATGTGTAATAATCGACTCCACTTTTAAAGTTTGAAATTTAGAAATGAATTGAAGACGGAACATAACGATAGCTACACGTGACCTGGATAAATATTATACAGAAAAGGAAATTTAAAAAAAGAATATCCTGTAAAAATTTCAAGTTAACCAGATAGCTCAACCGATAGAACAGCCTATACTTTGTATAGACATGGTTATAGGAAGGTCTCAGGTTCAAAACCTGATCTGGTCGTTACTTTTATGATACTGTTTAAGGTTATAATATTTTGATGTGATTGGTACAGATATCCCATAAAACAGAGGTATATTCCAAAATTGGTTTAAGATAAAAAATGTAAATTTCATCAAATGTTGAACGTTTTAATTTAATTTCTAGCATTTTCATTGGTCCTATAACTTAAAGAGAGGAATTTATGTTAGTTGTATGTTCATCCCAAGTAATTGAAAGGACTCAAAGATATTTTTGATCCTGAATAGTTACAACTTCAGTTTTTAAAGGATTAAAATTAACCAACTATTGCTGGGACCATTTTTGTAGATCAGAATTAAATACGTCTTGAATAATATTTAAACAACACAAACATATATTAAAATAAATCTTATTCAAAAAAATTTCTATAGTTTTACTTGAAAATTTTCAGATGACTGCAGATAATCATCAAGTCTATGTTAACTTTATTGAAAGGTTTGGGTTTGGCAGACTTGTCAAAAAAAACTGGTTGCCCACATTTTAAAGACAAACGACATATATAGCTACCGATATGATAAAAATATAATTCAGTTTAAACTGTTTATTGTTACTACAAGGGCAAGATTTTGTCACTTTTGTTTAAGCCATAGTCACTCACCAAGAGACCGTGGTTCGAGCCCTGGCTGCTTCTATTATTTTTTTTTGCTAATCACCAGAAGTTTTATTATCGCATGAATAATACAGATTTCTTTCAAATAGTTGAAAATTCTTATTCAACAATAATTTGATATAGTCCCCAGGCATAAATTTGTTTTAACTAATCCGTTACAACTCGTCTAGGTATCAAGGAAAGCATGAAGCCCAATATTTTCATGTTTTGATGGTGCTTTTGATGTTTTGAACAAACACATACGTTTTTGTTTTACGGCGACATTACCGGCTTATTGACATTCAGTGGCTTACATTTCTTACATCTGTCTCTTTGATATGGCGAATGCTAACATAAGGCAGCATTAAAGAGAAGCAAGGTGATGGAAGGCTGTAGGAATGGTGCAGCAGGGGGCCACCTTCTGCCAGGTTGATGCAGCGCTCGGTGTACACTACACCGTCATCAAAAGATCATGGGAGAGATTCCGGTCATTTAGTATACGGGTTTTTGGTCGTTCAGCAGGTCGTGCAAGGTTTTCGACAGCATTATCTCCTGGAAATGACCTTGCTTATGCTGCCGAGCTCCATGTCTCCACGCAGACGGTAAGTAGAAGGCTGCATGAAGGTTAATTGTGGTCGAGAAGACTTGCATACTCTGACGTGTCGACATCGTCAGGCCCGTTTGGAATGGACAATTGGACATGCACGGTGCACCATGCAACACTGGAGATACGTTCTGTTCACTGATGAGTCCAGGGTCTGCCAAGACTTCGCAATTAGGCGTTCAAGAGTCTGGAAAAAAGACAATGTGAACAGCTTCAGACTGCAAATATTGCTCAGCATGACTGCTATGGAGGTGGGTCAGCATCAGCTGGGAACGATGATCAAACCTGGTTATGTTTGATGGAGGCACATTGACAAGTCAGCGATACATAGACGACATCTTAAACATCCAGGTTAGGTTTTATGCTGGAGCAGTCTACGATCAATTCATTCTTTTGGACGATAATTTTTGCCCCCATAGAGACAGGGTGGCCCAGAAGTACCTAACGAAGGAGTCTTTTGAGCGCATGGACAAGTAAGCTCGCTCATCTGCCTTAATTTCAATAGAACACACGTGATGAGCTACGGATTAGAACTCCAGCTCGTCAGCTGGAGCTTAGAACAACGAATGGGCAGCCATACCCGTTAGAAAGATCAGAAACCTAATATAGAGTATATGAAGGCGCTGTCAAACTGTCATTGATAGTCACGGGTCACACACACGGTAAACAAAAACAAAAACCACAACAATTTATCAAATTTGTAAAACAAGCTGCATGTTCTGAAATCTTCAAATAGGGGCATCATCCACTTTTTTAGCACAAGATCAGTGTAAAACTCATTATAGGGTTAAATTTGTCCTTCAGCTGAATTGATAAAACAGTAAATCAACATTCAAAACCTTTCGCACGGCGTTTATAAAATTATCCCAAAAATTATCACACTTAAACCTATTGCGCTTCACAGTTGAGTAGTTTACTTACCAATTTACAGATTCTTTCCTGCTTTGTATATTTATTAATTGCTAAGGCTTCAATAACAAACACTTCTGGCCAGGTAAATACTTTTAAGGGATTCTGGTTTTCTCTTTTCGAATAGTACCAAGCTTACACCTTTTTATTTAGCCGCTTTGGACGTTCTATGTTGTTTCTTTTTTTCTTTATTTGATAACATGTTAGAATTATCGCTTGGAAATCAAGATTATTCAAATTCCGAATTTGTCCGGCAAATTTCTGTTTGACATTTTGTATATTCAAAAGCGGTCCGGTCATGCTTTACGAGCATGCACATTAGGACGTTCGTGCACGTGTGTGGATTATTTTGTTGTGCTCGTAATTCTGTTAACCGACATATTCTCTTTAATTGATTTTATTCTTTACTGTTTACATTGCTGGGATTAGTTTTGTGAAATTAAGACTAGGGCTATTTTCAAATTTACATTTAGAGAAGATCATTGAAATGTGCTGTTTTTTGGGATTTAAGTTGTTCTTATCATTTCGTTTACCGAAATATTTGCTTTAACTGATTCTATTCATTACTGCTAAGATGGATATAATAGTTATTTTATAACAAAAGACTAGAACTAATTTCACATTTATGTTTAAAGAAGTCCATTTTAATGTTCTTTTCTTGGGATTAAAGTTAAGTTCTTTTTTAATTTCAAGATAAGATAATGATAATTGTCAAAGCAAAACACATTGTGAAATCTGCAGTCATCATACTTTTTTGTTATATATTTTCATGCTTAAAGTTTTTGGATACAACGTTATTCTATAGAAAAATGAACAATACATTGCCATTACCATATCCAGAAACAAGACCAAATATTATTTTTATAATTGCCGATGATCTTGGATATAACGATGTTGGATATCATGGTTCAGAAATTAAGACCCCAAACATTGACAAACTTGCTATGTCAGGTGTAAGACTGGAAAATTATTATGTCCAACCTGTGTGTACACCGACACGTGGGCAACTTCTAACGGGCAGATATCAGGTATAGAGCTGACTTTTATGTTTCGTAAATAACTATCATGGTTAATTATATGAAGATTTTGAAAATTAGCATTGCCCTGATTAATATTTCTAGTTCATGTTATGAACAACTCTTAAACGTTATTCCTACATAAAAATGATTCACAAATGTTTTTTGTTTGTTTTTAATTGTCATCACGATGCTTATGAAAGACATTTCGAAATAATCAAATTATATTGGTTTACTTAAGATTCATACAGGTCTAAATTGGGTTTTATGGCCTGCGACACCATTGGGGCTTTCACTTGATTACCCTACAATAGCAGACAAGTTGCGAGATGTTGGTTATGCCACCCATATGGTAGGAAAATGGCATTTAGGATTTTATAAACCGGAGTTTTTACCAACCAGTCGTGGATTTGATACATTTTTTGGTATTTAACTAAATTATCTTAGAGGAAAGGTTTACAATAATTATCTCAATATATTAATATATTAACAAAATATTTTTCAAATGTAAACGTTGCTCTTTCTGAAAAATGCAAAAATGTCAAGCAAGGTAGATAATCAATTCAAAATAAACAGGATAATTAATAACACGTACGATATTGCTCTTTATTAATTGTCAGCGTTTATCATTCTCAAGTCCTCAACGTTCACTTTTGCAGACATTCTCTTGCATAAACATTATGTGATACTTAAAATCTTTGATGATGATAAATGTAAGCAGGGGTGAAAATAAAACCATAAATTTTCAATGAAGCATATTGAACGTGCATATTCTTGGCAGAAAAATATTCATAATTTAAAGTGAAACATGATAATGGTACTTTTATTTTATCAGGTTTCTTAAGCGGGCATTCGGACTATTATACCCATATAACGGGAAACTACCAAGAAAAAGTTATGATTGGTTATGATTTAATGGAAAATGATACACCGGCAAATATATCAAAATATAATGGCTCTTACTCCACGCATCTTTTTGCAACGAAAGTGAAAGATCTTATTCGAAAACATAATATTGATAAGGTACAGTAAAAGTTAAAGGCACATTTTTCCTTAGAAATGAATACACGTTTCCTACTTATGAAAGAGTAAACATGAGTATAATGTTCAGGAGCAAATGATGGTTCATGTAAATAGCCAATAAGCATCTTTTTATAAACTTTAACAGGACTTCAAAATAAAAAAAAAATGTTTTGAGAGATAAAGTAAAAAGGCATTTCTAGGACATAATGAGCCTTTAAAAAGGCGGTACAAAACATTATTTATAATATATATTTCTTTGGAAAAGTCATACTTCAAAGCTATAAGAGGTCGTAAATGACTTCAAGGGCAATAATTGAGATACTTAACATTTATTATTTATGGCTTTGATATCTTGTCCCGTGTTCACAAAGATTTAACGATCAGGATCAAGATCAGGATAAAATCTAAAAACTCAAAAATTCTCCATTGTTTATCCTCATAGATTAAATGTGTAATATTAACATGATAAAACTGGACATGAGAAAGCATGTTTTTGAAATTTTAGAATAAATTTATTGCTATTTTTGCAAGAAATGGGCATTTTACAGTTGATCCAAATATAGATCTTGATCCTAAAATTAATCCTCATTTTGATCTGATTATTTTTGTATTGTTTTGTTATTCATCGATTTCATCCAAAAATTGGTTTGTTTCTTTGCAAAACAGCAATTGTTTACATTTTCAATATGTGCCATTTAAATCTAGCAAAATACGATCAAAATATAAAAATATATATATCAAACAATAAGAATAATATCAGGATTCTGATCCTGATATTTTCTTAGTGAACACGGGGCCTGAATTTCACACCAAGATCACATGTTTTGGTGTTACACATAAATGTGTTATCTTTAATGTTGTAACATAAATGTCATATATTGTAACTTTGCTTATATTGTAAGTGAGGTATTACATCAATCAATTATAAAACTGATTTTTCTTTCAAGTATACAAGTGCATTGTATGATCCAAAAATAGCGTGTCAATTTGATATCAATGTTAAAAATGTCAAGAGATCATTTACGAAATAGCGCCATAATGAATTTGATTATGAGAAAAATTCTCGAAAGAATACACGTCATTGAAAAAGTTTCAAACAATAACAAAAGTCACTTAGGTCTATCCGGCGCGCATCTTCGTTGATCATTTGATAACGTCGAGTCGCACAATTTTTACTTAAAAGACGACATGTGTACTTGACGACTACTTTTTCATAAAAATATTCTTTATAATTTAAATTATTTTTCTCATTCACAACGGCTATTAATATATTGTTGGAAAATGACTGTAACCAGTCGCTGGTCATACACTGTATTACAGTTACTAGTAGCTGCTCATTGATTCTGAAGGGATTACAGGGTATGTCCTCATGAATGATGTATGGCAAAATTAGCGGGTGCTATGCCTGGATAAAACGGATTTATTGATATATGTTTGTCGAAATTGATTTTGCTTTCATATTTCATATTTCATATTTTTTATCGTTTTATTGTATGTTTGTTTCAGCAGCAAGAATCTGATGAATTTTATCTGTTATGAGTTTTAGGACAATAAAAGCTCAGCTTTTATTTGCACTTCATTTCATGTCGATACGTCTTTCCAAACTTCATTTATAAATTAATAAGTATTTAAGTTCATCAAAAGAAACACATTTTTGTTTAATTTTACTGCGACGCCGATAATATTGTTACGTCATGACAAGTGTTTTTTATCAGGATCGTGCTGTTGATATAAAGCAACCTTATTCAGTGGCCTTTCACATACTGACGTCTGATAATGTTGTATACATGACATTCATTTTAGATAGTGTGTGCATTTTGCTTGTGTAAAGCGTTTCATGAAACGAAATATCAAATTTCATTAAAAGTAACGCGCAAAAAATGTTTAACACACAGTACTCCGTTTTATGTGAATTCGTTATATTAACAAAATTCGATATTATCGGGAAAAGATATGAAGTATGAATAACTGATATCAGAACTTCCTTTGACAAGTCATGCTTTTTTCTTGTTTTTCTAACTTGACATACGAACACTTCTAGACTGACTTGGATGTCAAAAAACAACATTTCGATTTCAAAAAAAGGTTTACTGTTTTTTGGATATTCTCTAGAGGTTAACAATCATCTTTTTAGAGAGAAATGATTTTGCGGATTTCTTGCTGGTCTGACGATATTTTCTAGCTCTACACGTTGGTAACAACTCACTTTTACTGTCGCGAAATTCATATTATGTCGAAACTGGCATAATAGCATCAACATATCAAACTGTCATGTGGGTTTGTTTGGCACTTTTTCTCACGTGTATTCCCTCTTGAATGGAGACAATTTATAACTTTACATGTATCGCAAAATCTGCGTGCGCCGCATACGTGTTATTCTGGTTATCGAATCTTATGGCGCTTTATATTATTTTCACGAAGCATATTATTTTTCTATAACATTTTATTGATTATCCAATTTATTTCAATATCAGGTTTACTAAATGTAAACCACCTTTGCAGAAGTAACAACAAAATTCTGCGTTATTTGGATCATACGCAGCACGTGTTCGTATACTTGAATTTTCGTCTGACGTGTTTAAAATTGAGACTACTCTAAGAAAGTATTAACCAAACCATTAACAGATTTGATAGGAATGTGTAATTAAACATTTTGTATGCACAAATCAAAAGCAAGCAATTTTAAATTCATTTATTTTTGTTTTAAAACCGTGTACTTGTATATGTTTCTTTGTTTCTTTCTTTTATTGTATGTAAACTATAAACTAGAATATGAGCGAGGATATAAAGGCACACATTTTAAGAAGTTTGTTCCGCTTTGAAAAAAAACTTAATATCTTGAATAGATTTTTTTAAATGAGTTAAACATATATTTTCATTTGAATGTGTATAAACTTCAGCCGATGTTCATATATCTATCGTTTCAAGCTGTGCATGCTCCTCTCCAGGTACCAGACAAATTTTTTAACGCCTATCCTCATATCAGTGACTTACACCGGCGAAAGTACGCAGGTATATTTCTTATATTATAAATAAGATCAAATTTAAAAATAGATGAAAAAACAACCAAAAACAACTCTTATTTCATAATAGTTCATTTAAAAAACAATAAGTTAACAAGGCGTGATTCATTAAATAAGAATATAACAACTAATAGTGTTATACCTTTAATTCTGTAAGTAAATTAAAACGAAAGTAAAAAGGTAATATTCATTATATTATTTACCTTTTAAGACAGTTTTTCTCCGCATTGGGTATTTAATATAAATCCTACCTAATGGTTTCAGTTAGGTATTGTTACCTTCACAACATATGTCAGTTATATGCCTCAAAGGGCACCTATATACAACATTTAACCAAAATGTACCGTACGGTTTACGGGAAATCGACAGTTTTATAAATGTAAGCTTGGTTATAATGAATGTCCTTTTCTGAAATGAAGAGAGACCAAACAATCTATGATGTTATCATTTTGAAACTTGTTTTTATTGATCATTATTAAGAAGGAAATAATAGCATTTAGCTAACAAACCTCTTAGACAAAAAGATGGTTTCCACTCAATATGTTTGAACATTTTACCCTATCCCTACCACTTTTAACAGTTGTTTTACCATTTTTCTTACTTAAACCGTTATTCCGTATATCCGGAAAATTTACCAAAAATGATTTTTTTTTTTGCCTAATTGTGTATATTGGTATATTGGTTAATCTTATCAAACTGAAATATTTTTTTTTTGGTTTGTTTTATTAGACTTTGAAAATATCAGATACATTTTTTGTTATTCTGGCATAATTAAGCCAGAAAATACCTATAATAATTCTAGTATTAGAATCTGAACGGGGGATCTGAGAAATACGTAAATAATGTTTGAAGAAACGAAAGAAAGAACAAAAGTTGCCCTCCTGGGGTTTTGAACCAACGCAGCTCAGTTTCAATGCAGATGACAGTATGTCTAGCCTTTTTGAAGACTGTTCATTGCGAATCATACCTTAAAGATATGGATTTTCCTGTCAAACACGCGTTACCTATTTATTTGTTAGCATTTATTGCATGTTTATCTGTGTCACGACAGTGATTCAACATAATAATGTAAATATGGGAAAGATGTTTTTTACCAATGTTTCTTTTTTTATATAAACATCAGGAATGGTATCTTGTATGGACGAAGAAGTTGGAAGCATAATTGAAGCATTGACAAAGCGCGGAATATGGAATAATACTGTGATTATTTTTAGTACAGGTATATTTCGAAAATATGGCACTAGATATAACTCACGTGAATTAATTGTGAATGTTTCCAATGGATTGGGATAGAGTCAAATGCTTTTCAGCGTTTGTTACACGTTACCTCATGATCAATCTGGGGTCATTTATAGCCTCTCACAAGTCTAAAATTTTCTTGGCGATGAGGGGGACTCCGCCCCCCTTCAAACCCCCACACAGAAGGGGGCACATCCCCCTTCTGGCAACCCCCTGATGTATCTTTTGGATGGGGGGCCGCGCCGAAAAAGAGGTCACTTTTTAACAACATTTCTCAAACAAAAACAAGTGTTTGGGGCGTAAATAAGGCATTTTTTCACCATTTGAGACAACATAAAGGGGGGGTGAAAAGGGCGTTAAAAGGCGTGTATATAACGTAATGGGTTAAGTGTAATTGAAGTTCCTAATCGAGTCATTGCATTAAAACCGTTATGTTTTGTAAAATTTATATTGTGCACGTAAGTTTACAGCATTGTTAATTTCTATGCTTGACATGAAGATTTGAAATGCTTAAAGGTAAATGACAGCAATAGTACGCTGAGAATATATTCGTCTATTTATAAGACATTAAGATATGATAATGAAACTCAATTGTAACAGATAATTTGTAATTAATGTTACGATAATGACTGTCTGAAGCGGAAGTTAAAGTGATATTATTCTCATATATTTTCATTGTTAAGTTGAGCTGAAATGACTTTAAATTTCAAACGATTGTCTATTATAATGATGATTGGACGAACAGTTGATATTGGAAAATGTTCCGGATAAAATATAAATCTTCGATAAAAAGAAAAAGATTGACTCATTCTTTTTATACTTTGAATGTTACAGGCGAATTTCGGCATATTTTTATAGAATTTGTGAGTTATTTATCATTCATGAGAATTTATTTTTAAAATTGAAATGAATTATTACAAAAAGTTGAATTATTTTTACTTTCACCTATTCACTCACTCTATACCCTTTGATGGACATTATGTTACTTTTAAAGCACATTGAAAGGTAAGTATAAAATGCCTTCGAAACAAATATCTTAAAATGTACAGAAAAAGTAATTCAGAGGAAAATTGTGTTACTAAAATTGAATAGTTGTTATCATTATTTAATCTGTCATTATTATAACTTTTGTAAAGATAATGGTGCTAATCCAAAAGTTGGAGGAAGCAACTGGCCACTTAAAGGGACAAAAAGTACCTTGTGGGAGGGTGGAATTCGTGCGGTTGGATTTGTTAACAGCCCTCTTCTTGGCTTTGGAGATGAAGGATATGTATCCAAAGAACTTATTCACGTTACAGATTGGTTTCCTACCATAACAAATATTGCTGGTGCTTATTCAATTGAATCTGACAAGTTAGATGGGATAGACCAATGGACATCTCTCAAGTATTTCTTTTAATTGATAGGTCTTAATAATAAAAAACTATGGTATTTTTTGAGAAAGTAAATTATTTGTGATTTATTGTTTTACAGTTAATTCGAGAGCATTAAACAATATTTTTTTTGTTTTGATATATTGTTTTTTCTTTTATTGGATAAAAAAACAACATAAAATAAATCGTCAAGTACAGTTATAAATTCAAGGAATTGTGTTCATAAGATACCTCTTTCTTAGAATATTACAAACACTTGTCTTTCACTTCATGAAGTAAAATGCATAGATGCAGATAAGCGGTGAACGTTATGCATTATTTCGACTTATTGTTTCTTTTACTGCTTTTACTGTCTTTAAGATACGGAACTTCTAGTAAAAGACAAGAAATCCTTCACAACATTGACCCAGTTTATAATAATACTCACCATATCAGAAGATTTTCGATGAGAATGGGTGCGTGGAAAATTATGCTCGGACAATCGGGTATATCTACCAATTATAAAAAATATGAATATTTTAAATTACACGTATTTTTTCTCAAAATATAAGACACTATTGACAAGCATTTCTCACATCATCTTAATAAAACTATTTTCAGTTAAACTAAAAAGACTTACATAAGTTTGATATAATGAACAAAGAACTAAATGAAAGGAAACATGAATTTCCGGCAACGTTTTTCGATAAATCGGCGTTGTAGTACTATGTACAAAAAAACTATTTTTATGATACTCTGTTTTAAGGTTCTCAAAGCGATAACAACAGATCGAATCTTAAAATTCATTTGTACAATATTGAAAATGATCCACAAGAGGAAGAAGATTTATTTGAAAAGTTTCCAAAAATAGTTGAACAAATGCTAGAAAGGCTTGAGTATTATGAAGAGGGAATGATAACATCCCATTTTCCTGATATTGATACAAACGCTGACCCCGTACTTCACGATGGTTTTTGGATACCCTGGAAGTAAATTAAGGAGTGGAAAATGAAAAATATAACAAAGCCTTTGCATTCTGGTACTTGTTTCACCTAACAACACCTACATATATTTCAATGGAAATATTATAACACGATATGATGCATGGCTTACTCTCTGTGACAATTTCTTGTACGTCTTTGCATTTAATATTAAATCATATTCATCAATTGTTGTTTCAGTCATGGAAATTGGAGCATAAGAAATAAATATATTCAATACGTATAACAATGAACATGTATCTATATGGATATTCTTGATATGTACAACAGTTTGAACCCTAATTTTTAAGTGAACAATTGTTTGTATTAATATCCTCAACAATAGCAAATGATTAGACAAAGACCAACATAACTGTTTTAACATATAACTTATGATGTTTATATCTAAATTATTGTGATTTATTTGTTAGACATGCTTACAAATACGCTACCTTTTTATCATTTCTAAATAAACTATATTCGTTTCACAAGTAGTTAGATTTTTATCTCCATTAATTCCCTTTTAGTAAAGTTGATAAAATCATAGACAATTTCGGGTAGTCTTGGCTGACATTGTCCTTTTTTTTCAATTTTCTATTTGTAAGAGAAGCATTCGTGAGTAACAATTGTAGGTATTTTGCTGTCTGATCGATAAGTTTATCCATATTGGTACACTGTGGCGAGTGATATTTTTTTATTTCTTTGATGTTTTCCTTTACAAAAAAAACGAATTAGAAAAGTGCTAACTGTCAAACAGCTTAGAAGAAAATAATAATTTTACTTCTTGATATTTCTATATTGTTTCCTACTATGTTAGAAAATAAAATATCAATGACATAAAATAATGACATAATGCTCCCACTTTCAATTCATCAACACCAACATTATTCCCCCTCTTTCTATTATTTCTTAACAAATTACGAAAACGTACCATATTTTTTCCTCTTTAAAAATTGAAAATCAAATTTTTTATCTATCAAAAGATTCTTAAATAATCAAGATTCTCGTGTTTTCATTTTTAAAGGGAGAAACAGGCAAATTATTCATTTTTTTCGTTTTGTATTTTTCATTCATTATTCTGTAAATGTCCTCTCAATGAATATACTAGGCAGTCACAGGAACACATATTTTCTCATGATAAGTATAAAATGATGGTTTTCTAGCCTAAACTACGTGGGTGAGATGAGAGTGTTAAGGTGAGTGTTGAGAGTGCACAATAGTTGTCACAGTGAGTTTTGGAAACGTTAAAGAACAATGTAAATGAATGACTTAGACTTGTTTCAATTATAAAATATCCACAAAAACTTGTTTTTGAATCTACTCGGTGATTCTGTCTGCTTCTAAATTTTGTTCAACATATAAAGATATATTTAAGCTTCACATCCAAAATTAATACATTAAATTCAAGGTGGGATTTTTACAAAAAATGTCATTTGTCCATAAAATCATTTTAATATTTTTTGTCAATTATTTGCTTGAGTATCCCTTTAACATCCCTAGATGTTTAAAAGAAATATTATCATTTATTTATTTTTTATTTATTAATTAGATTTACAGTCAATACAAAAAAGAAATAAGATTGGAAGGAACTTAATGCTAATTTAAGTCTTTCCCTATTCATAATAAATATTAGTACATGAAAACGGTGAGTAATTTTGTCATTTATTGACGAAGAAGGCTGTTGTGTTTCATCTAACATGACAGTGAGCCATGTTATAAATTAAATATATATAAATTAATTAAAAAACATATGCTGATGATATCAGATCGAAAGGAACACAGACAAAGAAAACATTCAGCCAATATCGGCGTGTTTATCAATGTCGTTGGTATATGAAAGAAACAAAGGAGGTCCCTTTATGTATTAAAAGTGCCCAATTTATAATGTGCACTGGGTATGACAACACCTTGCCTGCGGTCAAAGAGAAAGATTGTGATTCAGAGGTAAATTTTTTATTGATGTCCATGTATTTAAGTTTAAACAAGAGGACTTTGTGCGACACCCTGGTGAATGTTTAACTAGCATTGCAGAATATGGCACAAACTTCCTTTCCGGCGTTATTTGTTTCTGTAAAAAATGTAGAGATATGTAAGCTGGTTTGTTGTTGAGTCACCGGGTGTGAGCCTGACTAAAGAGGAATAAAGCGTTTGCTGTAGAGAAAGTAGTTGATGGTATGTTAGACTTTTTTTCAAAGACTTTACCGATCGTAGAAAGAAGAAAAGATACAGGACGATAATTTTTAATGCAAAAAGACCGATCACCGATCTTACCGATCTTAATATAGGTAACACAAAATCTTCTTTCCAAGACATGGAAATAACACAAACGTAAGGATTCGTTAAACAGTTCAGGTTTATAAAATGATAAAGCTCATTATACAACACTGTAAGAGATAGGTTGTTTATACCGTCTGGACCTGCCGTTTTGCCTAATGGTATGTATTTAAGGTCTAAAGAAATTTCGTAGGTTATTTAAATAAAGGACTCCATATTTGAGGTAGAAGGTCGATTGTGCTGGAAATCCGCCGGAGTGTCACCTCGCTTATTTAAAAGTGTTTGATCTCTTAAATAGTCGTTCAAAATGTCCGTTTTAGTCATTTCGTCTTCAGCTAGGATATTATGCAGGATTTTACAGGGGAGGAATAGAGGAGGAAGAAAATGGTGCGATAACTGATTTCAGACACTGCCACCATGAGTGTGGGGTTTGCTGTGATATCTTACAATTATTTGTATATGATTATCTTTGGATTTTTTTTTTTTGATTTTTCAAACAATGTTGTTGCGTAGTGTCCTTAATCACAGTCAATCGAGTTTTGTGTTGGTATTTTTTCTAAATTGATCAGGCCAAAAATAGGACAATATAAGCGAACATGTTAATGTAAACAAGTTTCACCAACTGGATTTGATGTCTGCATAAAGTCGATCATTGAGGAGCTTTTAGTGAAGTTTGTTGGCTCTGATATAAGCTGAGTAAGAGAAAGTTGTTGACAAAGTGTGGTTAATATATTTGCTGTTAATGTTAAAGTATCTGGTGACAGTGATGTTTGTTTTATCGGAATCAACACAACGTTTTATGGAATCTTCAATTAAAGTATTTGAGGTGAAAGGTGAACTGAAGTAAGTTCCACCAAAAAAAAAAACGTTTCGTCTTACTTATAATTTCGACACTCAGTTCCTTGAATTTCTAAATATTGACAACGCATCTAACGATAGTGACTTTTCACATACAAAGCACTCCTTCATGGCTGTCTCTTAATCGATATTTCCTTTCTGGGTTCATTAAATCATTCAAAGACTAATTCACTGTATGATTTCGAACTATTTAACCATATTGTAGAGAAAGGGAGAATTGGGAGAAAGTAGTTGATGATATGTTTGAAGACTTTTTTTAAAGACTTTACCGATTGTAGAAAGAAGAAAAGATACAGGACAATATTTTTTAATGCAAAAAGACCGATCACCGATCTTACCGATCTTAATATAGGTAACACAAAATCTTCTTTCCAAGACATGGAAAAAACACAAACGTAAGGATTCGTTAAACAGTTCAGGTTTATAAAAAGATAAAGCTCATTACACAACACTGTAAGAGATAGGTTGTTTATACCGTCTGGACCTGCCGTTTTGCCTAATGGTATGTATTTAAGGTCTAGAGAAATTTCGTAGGTTATTTAAATAAAGGACTCCATATTTGAGGTAGAAGGTCGATTGTGCTGGAAATCCGCCGGAGTGTGCCCTCGTTTATTTAAAAGTGTTTGATCTCTTAAATAGTCGTTCAAAATGTCCGTTTTAGTCATTTCGTCTTCAGCTAGGATATTATGCAGGAGTTTACAGGGGAGGAATAGAGGAGGAAGAAAATGGTGCGATAACTGATTTCAGACACTGCCACCATGATTGTGGGGTTTGCTGTGATATCTTACGATTATTTGTATATGATTATCTTTGGATTTATTTATTTTTTTGATTTTTTCAAACATTGTTGTTGCGTAGTGTCCTTAATCACAGTCAATCGAGTTTTGTGTTGGTATTTTTTCCAAATTGATCAGGCCAAAAATTGGACAATATAAGCGAACATGTTAATCTAAACAAATTTCACCAACTGGATTCGATGTCTGCATAAAGTCGATCATTGAGGAGCTTTTTGTGAAGTCTGTTGACTCTGATATAAGCTGAGTAAGAGAAAGTTGTTGACAAAGTGTGGTTAATATCTTTGCTGTTAATGTTAAAGTATCTGGTGACAGTGAAGTTTGTTTTATCGGAATCAACACAAAGTTTTATGGAATCTTCAATTAAAGTATTTGAGGTGAAAGGTGAACTGAAGTAAGTACCACCAAAAAAACGTTTCGTCTTACTTATAATTTCCACACTCAGTGCCTTGAATTTCTAAATATTGACAACGCATGTAACAATATTGACTTTTCACATACAAAGCACTCCTTCATGGCTGTCTCTTAATCGATATTTCCTTTCTGGGTCATTAAATCATTCAAAGACTAATTCACTGTATGATTTCGAACTATTTAACCATATTGTAGAGAAAGGGAGAATATAAAAGCCTTTTTACTGTGGCAAATAGTGTATCTGTTTATGCTTCATGCTCTGAATATTGTAGAGCATAACAGGAAAATAAATGGAAATATCAAGTTAGTCTTTACGCTGGATTGGAAAGGGAACTACTTGAATTTGACCTTGAGATCTCAAGTCCTCTATCCTGGTGTAGGATGCATATCATCAGATAGGTATATCAACCACATGACAAATGGATATTTGATAACAATAAAACATACTTGAAATTTCGTGGTGTTTTTGAGACATTCAGTGTGTGCGTTTCAAGTTTATACCATTCTGGTGAGTGAGTAATCACTGCATTATCGACATAAAAGATAGTGTTGAGAGATGATGTATGTATGTAAGAACTATAAATATTACGTATAATCGACAATTCGAGTTCAATAAGAACGAATTCATAGTAAAGTCTTCATGTTATACCTTGCTGAAAGGCATGCAATAGCATCAGTTATCAAAGAAATTTAATTTATGTTCATAATGGACAGTTAAAAACAAAGGTGAAAGAAAATCAGGACGGAAATTTACGAAGGATGCGGACATTTAAAACCGCCCTTAATTAACCTTAAATTAACAGGGGCTAAGCATTTAACAGTTTTAACAGGAATTTTTATCAAGCCCAAAAGGCGTTATCTAATCAAGCACTTAAAGCACTATATTCTGTTAATTCTTTTTTTGATTCATTTGCTCTTAATGTCACAGAAAAAAATCTATATTTTTGAAAGCATGGTTTTACCTATTCTTACATATAGTTCAGAGGTATGGGGTTTTCATAAGGCACCAGACATCGAAAAAAGTACATTTGAAATTTTTAAAATAAGTTCTTGGTGTACGCCAGCAAACTACAACATCAGCGGTTCTAGGTTAATTTGGACGATTTCCTTTATTTGTTTTGCGAAAAGTCAGAATAGTTAAG